AGAAAGAATATGTACGTAGCGAGTTGACTTTAAATTCGGGAAACTCGAGATCATTATGGAAAACAATTAACAAATGTTTACCTCGTAAATCATGTTCTTCTACACACGAGTTAAACTCTGTAAAGTTGGCGAACACATTTAACGAATATTTTACCTCCCTTGGAAGTTCCATTGCTGCTGAAACTTGTGGGATTGCGACCGATTTTAACTTGGAAGCAACTTGTCCACAACGCTCTACAACCCCTCCGGAAACGCAGTTTTGTTTTCGTGAAGTCTCCGAAACAGAAGTCGCAAATGTGGTATCAAACTTACCTGCCAATAAAGCTGCTGGTCCTGACAAATTACCAGCTAGAGTGATAAAAGATGGCCTGTCTGTTATTCTGTCTACGATAACCAGTATGATAAACTGCTCTTTTACCACCAGCAACTTTCCACAGGAATGGAAAATCGCAGAGGTCATCCCTATCCCCAAGTTAGGAGATAAAGAGTTAGCATGTAATAACCGCCCAATTTCATTGTTGCCAGTTATGTCTAAAATCTGCGAAAGGCTGGCTCACGGTCAATACAATAACTTCCTATGTTCCGAAGGTAAACTCTCTGCGCATCAAAATGGAAACAGGAAATTACATTCAACTGAAACAGCCTTACTCAAAGTTACTGACGATATTTTGAAAGCAATGGACGAAAAATTGATTACCATTATGGTCCTAATTGATTTTTCGAAAGCCTTCGATAGCATCAATCATGAAACTCTATTAAATAAATTATGGAATATTGGAATGGCTCCAAGTGCTTTGAAATGGTTTTCCAGCTACTTGACAAATAGATCTCAAAAAGTACGTTTGGGAGAGTTTCTATCGCAACGACTCCCACTATCTCACGGAGTACCCCAAGGATCTATTTTGGGACCTTTAATGTTTACTGTGTATGTCAACGACCTACCATCGTCAGTTGTTAACTGTAAGCCGGAGTGTTATGTTGACGATAGCAAGCTTTACGTTAGTTTTGTTTTACATGACCTGGTTTCAGCTATAGGCCAAATCAACAAAGATCTTGACCAGTTATGTTCTTGGTGCTGTGGCAACTCCCTCCTAATCAACCCTGAGAAAACTAAAGTTCTCGCCTTTGGTACTCGTCAGCGCCTACAACAGCTACCAGGTTTCTCCATTAAACTTCTGTCCAAACAAATCGAACCTACTCGTGTTGCTAAAGATCTTGGCATTCACTTGGATTCATGTCTTTCGTATACACATCATGTTGATAAAACAGTATCTTCGTGCATGTACTCATTATTCCAAATAAATCGCGTCAAACACCTTTTAGATCGAAAGACCCTTTTACTTGTTATACACTCTTTAGTTTTTAGTAGATTATTCTACTGTTCTTCCGTATGGAGCAACACTTCTAAAGAAAATGTAAATAAGTTGCAACTTGTACAAAACTTTGCTGCTCGTATTGTTGTTGGTTTACGGAAATATGATCATGTTTCTCCTGCCCTGAAAGAACTCAAATGGCTGAATATTACAGACCAATTGTATCTCCGAGATGCAGTGCTTGTTTTTAAATCGCTACACCATCTGACTCCATATTATCTGTCAGAAAAATTTAAAAGAAATTCCGAGGTGCATTCCAGAGTCACGAGGAATGTTAATGACTTACACTTGCCACTTTGTCGCCTTGTTACGGGACAGCGAACGTTTAGTTTCAGAGGGGCAAAATTGTGGAACTCGCTACCGCCGGAGATTAAATCCGAACAGTCATTGAAGTCTTTTAAACATAAACTTCACAAACACTTTCTGACTTCTTAAATTACATTTATATAACTAGTTTTTAATTGATTGTAAATATATTTTTAGAATATTTGTACTATATTTAAATAATTTATTGTATTGTATTGTATCACTGAAAAACCCTTTCGAGGGAGGGATATGTAATAAAGTTTATGAGTTATGAGTTTATGTAAGTTTACTGATATTTTTCTTTGTGATATAAGTTTAACACATTGCGCCCTGATGTGCCCTGCTTTATTATTTTACTCTGTCTAACGCCAGATGATTTACTCATCAAAGGCAGAGCTCTGGTGCTTAATGGATCTGCCCATGTGTCTAGTTAATCCATTGAGTTGCATTGCACCGATGTGCCTTGCTTTATTATTTTACTCTGTCTACTGCCAGACAATTTACTCGTCAAGGGGAGAGCTCTGGCATTTAATAGGTACAGTAACTTAACTGGCCTATCTGGCCATATGTCTAATAATCTAGAAAATCCATTCAGTTGCATTGTGCCAATGCGCCCTGCTTTAAGTATTATTTTACTCTGTCTAACGATTTAGTCGTATGACATGTGGACAGTGACTGACTGAAACAGTACAGGCTTGACTGCAGTCACTGACAAGAAGAAAATTCAGATCTCACAATGTATATTAATTTTACTGTATAAACCATATAATATAAACCATATAATTTGTGAACCATTTATACATTTCATTTATATACTTCTAAACCATATATATTTCTAAACCATTTATAAACCATATAATTTCTTTTATTAGTCCATGCTGACAGCAAATGCCTTAACTGAGGTGGATAGGCCCAAGAATTTTTCGAAATTAACTAAGAATGCAAGAAAAAGATTCAATGTGAACTGGAGAAGCAGGAGAACTGTTAAGAGAACACAAACATACAGTATTTGTTTTAATATTTTAGTAATGATATTATATGCATTTCTTAATTTTAATCTTTGGTCTTGTTCCTGCATGGTGTTACTGGTAACCCACACCTGATTTTTTTATTTCTGCATGCTTTTAGTTGAGTAATGCATATACAGGGTGTATCAAAAAATGTCCCAAATGGATAATTTCCTCAAAATCACACAAAATTTGGGATACTTTTTGTAACCGAGAGTAAATATACTTTTAAGTTTTTTATACTATTAAGTATACTATTAAGTATAAATATATATACTATTAAATATACTATAAATACTATTAAATATACTATTAAGTTTTTTATTATTTTGTAATTTGTATATTTCGAATAAACTAGTGTCTGATGTGGTATATCAAACCTGCGTAGCACGTAACTTTCTTATTTAGGTAGCATATGCTTGTCTGGTTTCATAAGGACTTATTTCAATACCTCAAAGCCATTGCTTGCTTTGTTTAATCTCGGTAAATGGGATCGCATAAACTTCCCCTGACTCGCTTAATTTCAATGCATAAAACTTGTGGAATTTCACATATGAAATATTTGATATATGAAATCTTTATGTGGAATTGAAACAGTTTCATATATGATAATTTCATATATGAAATATTTCATATATGAAATCTTTATATGTGGAATTGAAACAATTTCATATATGAAATCTTTATGTGGAATTGAAACAATTTCATATATGAGTTATATGAAAATTTCATATAGAAAATATTTCATACATGAAATCTTTATGTGGAATTGAAACAATTTCATATATGAAAATTTCATATATGAAATATTTCATATATGAAATCTTTATATGGAATTGAAACAATTTCATATATGAAAATTTCATATATGAAATATTTCATATATGAAATATTTCATATATGAAATATTTCATATATGAAATTTGTTTCAATTCCATATAACGATTTCATATATGAAATTTTCATATATTAAATGTTATGTAAAATTTTTGTAAGGGTTTATTCATACACTTGACCTACTAAATAATAAAACAAGAAGATGTCTATTTATATAATATTTATTAAATTGATCAGAGATCCCACTTCAGCTCAGAAACCACTGCCAGCAGGGAAAGACCCCACAATAACATGCCACTTAATTTGTTATATGATACATAAAAACTTATTTTATTGCTTTAAAACAAGTGAAGCTCTCTGCTGGCTTGAAATGGGCTGTTATGACACTGATTTGTCCATGCTGAGGATTCCGCAGCTCGATTTGCAACAAAAAACCCAGTATCAGGCGATCAGCTCGTCTTGAAATACGTACACGATCCAGTCGCGTCGGCCAAAGACAACAAAACTTTGAAAATCGCACAGATATAAATTCTAAAAAATATTAAAACAACTCGTAAGTCTTCTAAATAATATTTTAACACTTTAACAAAAAATCATTGAAAATATCATCTTTGATGGCGCATTTTCTTTCCAAGGTATTAGACGCCATTTTAGCGAACGTCGATTTGACAATAGTCACTTCAACGGTCAATATCTCGAAAACTGCCGGGAGATCACCGGGATCATTCCAGCAGATTTAAAGCTTATACTCTTGTCTTGATGACTACCAAAAATGAAGAAAATTGAACCATGGGAATTCTAGATATTTCATTTTAAACATTGTAAACATATTTAGACTTCAGTCAACACGTCGCGGGGAGTCGACTAACTTCAAACATCAAAATAACATTGAAAATAACATTTACCTCAGAGATTTTTGCAGATATCACCAGATCTTTAGCAGTAGTACTACTGCACTTGAAATTTTGCAAGAAAATTTTAATATTAATATTTTTTCTCGATTTATTTTCCGTCGAATGCAAATTTTTCTGTCCAAATTCTGCAGATAACACGATGGAAAATAGAGCGATCTTATTGGTCGAGAGCTCACGTGACAACTCGTTAATTGCTTGTCGTACCTCCTCTGTACTGGCCACTTGAAAATTGTAGTTCGCTACAGTAGCGAACTACAACCACTTCGCTACTACCCATGCACCCTTGCTGAAGTCTGTTTTTTAGGTAATCACAACAGTTATCCCAAACTAAGCTACAATAATCAAAGTGTGATAACACAATGGCATTATAGGCCTATATTTTTACTAAGGTTGATTTGGGAACAAACTGTTTTATTCGTCGCATCATTCCTATTCCTTTTGAAGCTTTTGTGGCAGTATTTTGGATTTGATGATTCCATAAAAGATGTTCATCAATAATTACGCCTAAAGTTTTTGATTTGTGAACCCGTTTAATGACTGATTCACCAAGTTCAATTTTAGGGTCCGTTACTAAGTTTGAAATTCGTTGTCTTGGGCCAATAATCATGTATTCAGTTTATCTTTGTTAAGTGTAAGTTTGTTTGCAAGTAACCATTGGTGTACATTTTCTAAGTCCACGTTAATGCGTTCTTGTAGTTCGTCATTTGTCTTGCCATTGGTTGAAATATTTGTGTCATCGGCAAACATGCTTGCTGAAGATGAGGTCAGGCAATTTGGCAGGTCGTTTATATAAAATAAGAACAGAAGTGGCCCAAGATTAGAACCTTGGGGTACCACTTGAGCCTGCGATGTCCCAAGGGGCAATGCAAATGATGTTTCAGTTATGAAATGTATTGGCTCGCCAACGATTTGCCCTGACTTGTGGGACAATGCATAAATTGGTTTTCCGCGCCGCTTGACGTCATGATAAGAACGTTTATTATTTATAGTTATGCAAATTAAAACGGCATACAATAATGATGATAGTTGACGGATAATGTAATTTGTGAGATTGCTAAATAGCATAAATTAACATTTTGCCGACATGGAACAATAAGGAGCGTGTGATGCATTGCGGGTGGAGATATTATAAAAGGCAGAGAGGACAACAGAATATTCAGTCTATACGATCAGTCAACAGCAACAGACAAACTACGTTTTCTTCAACATGGATGAAGCTGCAGTTCAACGAATTATTCAGAAGAATAAGGAGGAACTGCTTGCTCAAATGTCTTCCCTAATTTCAACAACCGTGCAAGGTTTGAAGAGGTCGAACGAGAACCAGGCACAAGAACAACTACACGAAATCAAAAAGCTCAAGTATGCCGACGTTCCATCGTTTAAGAAGGAAAGCAAAGAGGATGAATTCAAATCAACGAATGCTGTAATGATGTGTCTAGATGACGCTATCGATTTCCTCTCGAAGAAAAATCTCGACAAGACAAAGGAGGCTATCGACAAAGGTAGGATCCTCTTAACAGAGCGCCAAAAGCTTATTAAATTAGCCGATAAGTTGCCTTTCGGCTGGTAATCTGCAATATCAAAGAAAGTGCGCATTAAAAGAGAAATCATGTCACCAATAATTAGTAAAACTTTGAATGCTTTACTGACTAATTATCCTACAATGGGAAACGACTTTAACAGAGGAATAATGGGCGCGGGATTATGAACGCAGAGCCTTGACAGGGAAATCACTCTAAAATTCTCGTACATTTTTGTAGGAAATCGCATGGGGCCGAGTAAAATTAAGGTTTAATTTGACGCATGTTTTCAAAGTTTCATATATATGTTAGGACAGCTTGCTATCAGTAAGGTAGGATCAGAAAAAGATACCTTTTAACTTTACAGCTGGAACTAAGGTTTGGTAAAAAGATGGTTGGGAAATGGGATTTAGAAAAAAGTGGACCGGGAAATGGGATCTAGACCCCTCCTCGAAACCATCTTATTTGAAGTCCTTCATGACTGGGGTATACGCGATCAGGGAGATTTTCTGAAGATTTATTTTATTTTTTAACCATTTACTTTCAAGCAACCATCAATATTCTCATGCTACACATTAGCGATATTATAAATATTTCGCCAAGCGCTCGTGTGATTTCCATTAATACTTCTCGAACCGTGTATAATTTCCTGTAGTAATTTTCAAATTTCTCATCACTCGACTAGAAGTAAATAGATTGTGTCTCGGCAATATAATGCTGTTTATAGTTTAGCTTTACCAATACATCTATACGGTTTTAGCCTGTTTAGAGTTAAGTGGGGCCACCGTTTTTAAATAAGATGAATAATAATAGCCTAATAATAATAACGTCCGTATTGATAAAAACGTCGCTCGTTTAAGTTCGTGCTGAACACTCAAAAACTTGAGAATACAACCATGCCATTCCACGATGGAATATCTAAATATTGTTGGTCATTTTCTGGAACGCAGAAATACGCATAACAAATTTCAATTTTATCAACAGTAGTTTTTGTGACGCCAATATAGTTCTTGTGATTACGAAAGTAAAAAACTAAAACAAGGACGAATAGCATTCACCACGAATATTTAGCCATGACACAAGTAGGTTTAAAAGACAATTACTAACCATTTTGAATGCCAGTATCTACTTGAATGCGGAAGAAAGTGCGTGAAAAAGAAAGAAAAACGCAGTAAAAATTAATATATTCGTTATATTGGACATATATACGCCACGTCTGTTGGCGTCGGCAGCTGTTTCCTATTCATTTTTGTGTTTTTGGCCACATCAGTCATCACATTTAAATGTCTAAAATTCTTACCTGCTGCTGCACAGTAAGCTAGGCTACACTGGTCCGGTGGTTTCAGTTCATAGAGAAAAAAACTTCCACATTTAACAACTTTGATATTGTATTCAGCATAACAGGTAGAAACCATAGATAATTGTTATTGAGCACAAGCTGTAACATTTGTAACCACATAGTCAACCGTTGGATGTTTCCCATTCATCCATATGGGAATATTGGTTCCACAACGACCGATGCCAGGATTTTTTTCGGGCAGCATTTCATTGCCCGCCGTGCTCTGAAATCTGTACCATGCCCCATTTTTAATTAAATCCCGATCACACAAGTCGGTAGTTTCATTATACGCTATATTGCGTCGAGTGTCATTTAGAGTAGTATAATTGTTTCTGCTACAAGGCCCATTTGCGTTATTTTTACCGCCCTGATCTAGAAACAGCAAAATCAAGAGACTGCAGAGCGTAGCCATAGCTGAATACGCCATCAACACTGTAAATCTCGCGGTGTTGCGGCAACACCAAAAAAGTGTAACATTACACTGATTAGGTGTAACGCGGAATTAAACACTGTTCGAGTGTAACATTACACTTCCACAGTGTAGCTTTACACTATTTTAGTGTTTTGGTAACACTTACTAGGTGTAAAGCAAAAAAAATCCTATTTACACCTAATTCGGTGTAGATTTACATTATAACGGTGTAACCTTACCTCTTCTCCCTGTTAATTTACACTTTGCGATGGTGTAAATATACACTTATTTGGTGTAAAATATGCCAACACTTGCGAAGTGTAAATTTACACTTTCCCTGCCGTATTATTACACCTAGAATGCGTTAAAATACACTGAGCTGCGGTGAAGTAGAAACTAATGTATTAATTATTATTGCGGTGTAAATTTACCCTTAACTAGTGTAAATTTACCCAATGATTGTGTATGAGATAACACCATAATAATGTAAATATACACCGGTATGGTGTAAAAAATATGAATGCTTACTTAGTGTAAATCCACACTGAACCTGGTGTATAATTACACTAAGACCATGTTAAGATACACTGATGTAGTGTAAAGTAGAAACCGAAGTATTGACACCTTTTATGCTGTAAATTTACCCTCAAACGGTGTAAATTTACCCAAATCTTGTGTATGAAATAACACCTTGATTGTGTAAATATACACCGGTATGGTGTAAAAAATATGAATGCTTACTTAGGGAAAATCTACACTGAACCTGGTGTATAATTACACTAAGACCATTTTAAGATACAATGATCTGGTGTAAAGTAGAAACTGAAATATTAACGAACACCTATACTATGCTGTTATTGCTGTAAACTTACCCTCAAACTGTG